CAGGCGAGCCAGAAAGAGACCCAAATCCACAACAATGGCAACCTTCCAGAAACGAGGTCTTCATCAACCATCAATTCACATAAACCATCCAACTAGGGTTTGTTAACACATGCCAAAATTGACTTCAAGATCTGATTCTAAACTAGCTTACATTTCAGAGAAGATCCCACTTGTTTTGCATAAGTACTGTCATGAGATAAAGTCAAACTAAAATAAATTTCTCCAAATTTTTATGTGGAAGATGCACAATTTCTAAATGTCGAATGTGTAGAACATAATAATACCGCTTAGATTATACATAATTCTCTTCTCGTTTATGTTATGAATACAAGTTAATTGTCTTGTTGCTATGCTTGAATTGACATTGGCTTCATAGTCACGCTCTTATTATCAATCTTTATCTAAGTCGGTATCTACTATAATTCTAACTCAAGTTACACTATAGCTTGTGTGGGGGGGTGTGATGCCATGAAATTGAATAAGGTCCTCTCCATTGAAATATGATAATAATGGTTGTACAGGGCCACATGAGCCCTGTACAGGGGCGCCCAGTAAGTACAAGGCACATGTGGTGCTGTACAGTAGCATGATTGATCAAACTAATGTTAGCAATAATAGTTTGGCTTATTCATGCCAACGAGGACGAAAATATCAATTAAAATTTTGTTATTTAAATAACCAGTTTTCAATGTTTTAAATATTACAATATTAGAAAAATAACTAGTCTAATTTTCTGTCAATTCATCTTTGAATTATCTTCTAAAGATTAAATATTGCAAATTATATTTAAATTTTTGCTTTCAATAAAATAATGTAAATTATATATAATTTCAAATTATTATTATTTTATGGTAATATGTAGTTAACATCAATAATTTAGTAGTTTTAATTAAATTTTATACTCAATTATTTAAAAAATAAATAAATTTTAAGTAATGTTTAAGGTCATAAGGTTTTGTAACAAAAAGATAATATCCTATTTTAAAATTAGGACATAATATGGTATTTATATAAAATTATTAGGTTGACTACTAAACTTTATTATCATTTCAAGTTGATCATACATAACGTATTACCACTATGAAAATTTGCTTAAATTTAGTGATGTTTTGTGTACATGGCATTGTCGAGAACAGCGTAACATGTCGAGACCACTTGGGTCTAGTGGCATCGGTGGGAACTTTCGGCAGAGAAGGTGAATGTTCGATCTAGATCCCTATTCCCTTCTCCCGAAGTAACAAAAAAAGGACAATACTGTCTGGTACCGGTGATCTGGAAATTATAGCAAAGGAAGCCCTACAGCTTAATTGAAATTTCCCTCAAGGCTGGACTTCGTGATAAAATTATCAAATTTTCTACTACTAAAAATATTTTCGAAAACAGAAAAACTCAAATTAAGAATCAGATTTGAGATTTTTTCGCGCTGTAGTTTCACTTTTTTCATGCAGTAATTGTATTGTATTGCAATTGAAAATCCTTTGATTCATTAATTGAGATTTGATTCGGCTAGCTTTTGCTCCAAAAAGAGTTTATGGTGTCTACAAATGAAGGTTTGAACTGTGCGCTGAAATTCTTCATTGCTTAGCCTTTCAATCTCTGCTCCGACTAACGGAGTCATCCTTAAATTCTCGGTCTTCGATCGCTGGGGCTTCTGCGGTGATTGAATCCTCTGAAACCGCTTTATTTCCTTAGTAGCCTTCTCTATCGCCATCGTTATTTCGTCGCAATTTGCGACGGAATTAGGATCATAATCTGTGCACAGAATTCGTTTCTCCTCAATGTCCTCATCGCCGCCGCCGCCTTCTTCCTCAACGACCATTTCCGGCGGAATTAGTTCATTTTCAGAAACAAAAATGGAGACAGAAGAAAGGCGTGGATGAACTTCGCTGTGTTTAACGAAATCGTGGACGAGATCGCCGGCGGCAGAATGATTTCTGGAGACTTCGTTTTGGCGGCAGAGTACGAAAATCAACAAAATAATGGCATTGAGAAAAACAACATGATAATTGAAGAGATAAGCACATAGTTTCAACAACCACTCGCCGGAGATTCTCACGGCCGTCGGAATATACGTTAATGACCAAAAAACCAACGCGCAAACCACCGAAACTTGGAGAAACCGAAAAGGCTTGGCGATTTTTCGGTATGAATTGAATCTTGCAATTGTTTTTGCCTTTTCAAATTTCGCATTACTAAATACTCCAGATTTCATATTGAGAATTCGAATTTTTTTTGGAAATATTGAAAGGATTTCAGATAGAGAGAAATGATCCGCGCCTGGGTTTTGGTTTGAGTGGGATTTTATGAGTTAAAGCAGAGTTCACACATTATCGCCCTTTTATAGGCCAGTAATGATATCATCACTACGAGTTAGTGGGCTGTCGAGATGGGAGATGACCACTGCAGTTGCAGAGTGAGGGTGCGTGTATGGTAGTTTGCATGTTGGGGGTGGGGAAGATTTGTACTTTTTTACTTGTCAAACTCAATAATTAATTTTAACTATATATTTCATCAACTCTATTAAAATTTACTAAAATTTTGATTTTAATCCCCATAAATTAAATTCAGGAATAGTTTTTAAAACTTGGCCTGTCCATCAATCCGATCAAAGCTTCGATTCAACGGGTCAATTGTTCAACATGTATATTATTGTATTGTTATCGAAATATTCATTAAATAATTTTTATAAGTAATGCAAAATATATAATTTCGTACAATTTTGAAGGCTTTTATGTGAACCAGGCGGATCGACGACCACTACCCAAATTGTCGATTTCGTGCAAAACCCGTGAGCTCGACAAGATTTTGTCGATTCATCGGGTTTCGAGATTGACCGACTGATTGAAGTAATAGAGGATTTGAGAGTGGTATTGGATCATTGCTAATTCATTTCTTCATTTGAGCTTTGATCGGAACAAGTTTAAAATTTTGATCAAATTCAATATTTTTCTCACAACGGTTAGACAAACACACAGGTGGATGTGTGTAGAAGATATTATAAGTAGAAATAAATCATTTTTATTTTTCAACAAACTAAAGTAAAGTTTCACGCAAAATTATTCTATACTAGTGTTATTGATTAGTAATTGAGATCAGTGTAATGAATTATGTGATTATCAATACCAATTATGAATGGCATTACTTGAATATTAATTAAATTCATGATAGTTAGGGTGCGTTTGATTGTAAGTGTAGAAAATGGGTGAAAATAAAATGTTTTACTAGGAAAAGATTTGCCTAGAAAATGTTTTGTAGGGAAAATGATTTCAAGTGTGTTTGATTGGTATAATTTTCCACCCGGAAAATTTTTAAATTTTCTATCGTTTGGCTTTGTTTTATATGAAAATTGTTCATTAAAGTGATAATTTTTTTCACAATTGATTATAAAATTTGTTTCCATTACTAAAAAGTAAAAAAAAAAAACTAAAAAAAAAATTGTTTACTAAAAAATCATTTTTTTAATCAAAGTTTAGTATTCGTTTGACTTTGTTTTACATAGAAATTGTCCATTAAAGTGTAATTTTTTTTTTTTACAATTGATTATGATATTTGTTTCCATTGTAAAAAAAAAAA